GCTTTTTCTACTGGTACGACTGGTAGAATTATCCAATAAAGTAAATATTTAAAATATATATAAATAAAATTAGAAAAAAATAGTTTCTAGTGTGTTATCTTTAAAATAATTGGGGGAAAAGGAATCCCCAATAATTTGCTGATGATCATGTGACACAAATCATGTGTTTAGTGTCACCAAAGGTGACACTAAATCCTAAAAGAACTGAAGTTAGTTTGGATTGTTGACGACTTTTAATACTTTTGGTACACACCCAGCGTCCTCGCAACGAGTATGAGGAGAGGTTAGCACTAGCCGTGCAGTACAGGAGCACACACACAAGGCACATTATCAGCCATGGAGTCACCTAGACCCAAAGGACAACACGAGTATTATCAGCCATGGAGTAACCTAGACCCAAAGGACAACACGAGTTAAATGAATACTATTAAAACTCTGATGACTCTTCAGTAGAAATTTGTTTTTTTTCTAGGTTGTGGTATATGTCCGGGCTCGTTACGATCTAATTCCAAAAAAGGTTTATTGTATGTCACATCTAGGAATGAAATTTTAATCACTGCTCACATCAGGTATAAAAGGTGGGGACTGAACACCAAAAACGAAAAAATGTCTCATGCTCTCTATATGTAATTCCATATTGACAAGTACTCGTCTTGTGATATGTTTGTACAGAGAGGAAGTAGAGGAGGTACTTCTGCGTGTTTTATCAGTGCACCTCCTTCTGTTGTTTGCTCACGTTGAAATGACTGTGTCCCCTCTTCACTATCTATGTGTACCATACCTTTAATCTCCTCTCTCCTCTTCTCTACTCCTGTCTCCTCTTTCATCCTCTTCACTCACCCTGTGCTCTCCCTCAACATCTGTCCGTCTTCTCAATCCCCCTCCAATATCTCCTCTTTCCCCTTTCCTCTCTCCTCCTGAATTAGTTGCATCAACAACAGTCCACGTTGCACTAAATAAATGATTCAGAGATGAAACAGTCGCAGTCCCAGTTGCCATGGAGACGCTACTGGGCACATCTAACTATTGTATGCAGAGCAGATTTACTGGGTGACCACCGGCCACAAGTTGCTTCGCCAGTGTGTGTGCAAATGTAGGCGAAAAAAAGATGCTTCTGTGCACAGAAAGGAGTGCCAGTGTGCGAGGTAATTATGCAGAGTCAAATTATAATTGGCTGCTGCCCACATTGCTTTTCCGTGCAAATGAAATCTCTGAAGAAGTGAATAAAACAAACGCGATCATCCTCTCTTCTTCATTGCCAACATCCACCATTTGCCCGAAACGTTCACTATCTTTGCCTGGCACATCTCAACCTCTCACCTCTCTATCTTTATCTCCAAACTGCCACACCTGAACCACCTTCACCTCTGATCTGCTTAAATCTAATCCTCTCCTTCCTCGTCAAACAGCCACAGTGTCTAAACCATACATCATAGCAGGTCTCACTACCGTCTTATAAAATGTTTTCTTAAATGTTGATGCTATTTTCCTCCCACTATCCACCCCTGACATTTCAATTTTACCCTGCCCACACCCTACACCCACCTCATCTCACTCTCATTTACACACAAATATTCCACCTTGCTCCTGCTGACCTTATTTTTCTTTGCCCTTTTGGGACAGCACACCTATCTGCCGTCTCTGGTCCTGCGGGATCCTCACATACTTTTCTGCCACTCCTGACTGTCTCATACAGATATGATTTCTCTACACTCACAAAGACACAGTACACACATTACATCATCAGTCCTTTCCCTGGGCATAAACACCCATATACACAAACACATGTATTTAGAACTATAAGTACACACAGAATACCTAATTAATTTAAGTCTAATTGGTTGTAGATATCGTATAACAAACGGCTCTCTCAGTGGATACACTGTTAGTAGAAACTAATAGCCTGTCCCTTTTAGGCTAAGACGAAGTTAAGTGTAGATTGCGATACATAAATATGATATATTCATCGTAGAAACTAATAGCCTGTCCCTTTTTAGGCTAAGAAGTGTAGGTTGCGATACATAAATATGATATATTCATTAAGATACTGCAAAACGGATGAAATTAAAAATGCAAAGTTCTGTGGAGATTTGTGTGAGTGCGAGAGAGAGAGAGAGAGAGAGAGTGTGTCTAGGGGTCCTGCCTCCGGTTTAAAGCCACTTCATGTTTTCCGATTATCTGCAGGTCTATCCCACTTTGCTTTAGGTGAAAAACAGACGTCCCTCGTTCAATGCGATTTCTGATCTCAGCAAGATTATTTGCGCAGATTACAGACAAACACGGCTAACACGAAAGATCAGAGGCCGAGCGGTGTTGCCGGGCAGCAGCACCGAGATTTTATCGGCATGTTAAAGAGACGGTGTCAGGGCTTCTTTGGAGCTTCAAAGAAAGCAAAGCATGAACCAAAGAGAGCGGGATTTTTTCTCATTTAAAAAAAAGAATTTGGTTTAATTTTCTTATTCCTCACTCAACATATTTTGACAACTACCATATTATTTTTCCTACTGTAAAGTGAGGTAAAAATAGCTAATAATGACAATGTATCAAATAAGGCCTGATGTGATTTTTTTTTTCTGTTCTGCTTTGGCTGGTGTGCAGTGCTACATATTCACTGTAGTGGCGGTGTTGAACAATAGACACTGTACAAATGCCTGATTTGTGAATAAGAGAAAAGCTCTCTGTGAAAAAAAACAAAACAACAAAAGACATTTATAAAGGTAAGCCATCACACACTGTAGAAAGCATGTGCAATCCCTGTATCACCTGAGGGCAGCTTTGTATATTACACGTGTATCCACAAAGGAGCTCTGACCTCCTGCGACGGCATATATTACATCTGCAGGCTACTGATATCCCACAGCACGTCTGCTCACCTATCAGCCGCAGCACGAGTGAAACTGATGGATAAATGGGAATCAGTGCGGTTTAACTGCGTCGCTGCCACACGTGAGGCAAACTCCAATTGTGTGAAAGCGTGTTGGGGAAAAACAGTGGTTAATATGTACAAGACGACCACCGAACACCAGCAACAACATTATTATGAGCTATCAGCGGGAAGACATTATTTCTCCATATGCGCAATGTGTATGTTTAAGGTGTTTCTGCCCTCCCCCTGCTGTTCATCCAGCCTCTGCTGTTCAGGCTCGTCTTTTTCTGTCACGTGTCGGATGGAATAATGGGAAACTTCTAATGACAAAAGTGTTCCAGGGCCGTACTTCAAACTATTTTATTTGTGAGTGCAGACGAATAACATGGAGGTTAAAGTAATGATTTCTGTTAATTTGGAAATATATATACATATTTATATATATAATATATGTTTATATTTTATATATAAATATATATTTTTATTTTTTAGGTATATTTTAAACAATTTAATGCAGAATGTAAATTATTTATAATAATAATCTTTTTTATTTAATGCTACTTGGGAATTTCTTGACAGTGATCTGCTGATCTCAAGTATATGGTTCCTTTGCTTCCAAGCGAGGCGTGCTAACCTCTAAGCTACGGAACCACTTTAGTAATCACTGTAATCACAAGTCACTGTCCTTAAGCCGTGATCATTCCTTATTGTGACGTTGCATAACTGTCCATCACTCTGTCAACAATCTATTAACTTTTCAATCATTGTGTTTGACAAAGACTTCTGAGGAAAATGCTGAGTATTGCCAACAACGTACCAAAATGAAACCGACTTCAGCGGTGATGAACTCTTGTTGTTAAACTTACAAACTATAATGACCTCAGATGTTTTTTTATTCATACACCGAGTGCATCCCAATGGGTGTAGTAACAGCAGAAAACTATTACTGTGTCTGCCGTGATTCTGAGGCAATAACCAGGCAGCAGAAAATCTTCCACGGATATCGTAATTTGTTGAAATTCTTGTTCGCATGTACTGCTACAGTAGAAGAAATAGAAAAAAAAAGAATGTAGCTAATGAAAGAAACTTAAATGTTACCCAAATAAATAACCTTAATGAATAGCTGTTCAACTGAGGGAAAAATAAATCAGACCTGAAAACACTTTATTACCTTAATATTTTGTAATCACAACAATAAGTGAATGCTCAGCGGGGCAGGGAGGGTTGTTTTCCCTCTTCAAAAAGGGCACTACTGCTGTGCTGTGAGTAACAGAGTCTCCAAAAAGAAGTAAAACTTGTGTTTCAGTTGTTGGCCTCAGATCATACAACTGCCTTGACAGTAGAATATCCACCAGGGCAAAATACCAAAATATCTAGTTTCCACCCCGCTAAACACACCTGTGATTCCTGGCTGCTCCGCTTTCCAAACCGCTCAGGGGAGAGAGCGCTAATTGCATCCAAATCAAACACACAGAACAGAGTCTCACCTGTAGTTTTTCTCTCTCTCGCTTTCGCTTTCTCTCTCGTACGCACACAGGCAAACACACATGAATGTGCAGTCACAATTAACCACAGACAACACAGCCTTACCACCTTTACGGTCTAAAGTTAACCTTCAGTATTATCTGATGAATACTCTTGTGTTATTGGTCTCAGCCCTTTCCTTAAACTTCCTGTCACACATTAAATGCATTGACACTTGTTTCAAAAACCTGCAGGCAGGCGTTACACTGCCACACACACACACACAAGTATCAAACAATCTGTTCACTTCCCATCTGGTAATTGAAGGGAGTGGAACCCACATCGTAGCAGTATGGTTCCCCTACAACTGGTCATTAGCAGGTTGAATTAGTGGTTCTGCTTAATGGACCTGCGCCGGCTAATGTAAGAGCCTCTAAAATGGCCACCTGCCTCCTGCCAAATGGTTAATTTATCAACCTTAGCAGAGTTTTAATCATGGTTTCAGATGCCATTCTAAAACACTTCACATCAATTTGAAGCAGGGAAAAAAAGTCAGGACTGCCAGCAAACGTGGCAGCAGGGTTCTATAGAAGCCATTAGCTTATTCGTACTATTCAAACAACGGAATCAGGGTCAAGTGTACGAGCCACGTTTCAAACGCTGGACTTACGGAATGCTGTGTAGAACTCATGCAGGCTGAGGTGTCCGTCGTTGTTGTAGTCGTCGTAGCGCAGCAAGTCCTGCATGGTGCACTCCAACAAGCTGTCGTCAAGGTGCTCCTTCAGTGGAACCTAATGCACAGATTCACACGTTATGTTGAAAAATATCTTTGTGGGATTGGTGATAATGAAATACTACCAGTATCATTGCCACTATGGCCTTAAGTTTAATTAGCAAAAATGAAAATGTATTTGTAAGAAATGTAAAAACGGTCATTTTGTATCTGCATTTTTTTTTATATATATATAAAAAGCTGCAATCACTCAGCAATTGTCTATATTCAACATTATGGAGTCATTGGCTATGGCCAAAAATGAAAATGTATTTTGTAAGAAATGTAAAAATGGTCGTTTTGTATCTGCATTCTTTTTTTTTTTGATATAAAAAGCTGCGATCACTCAGCAAACGTCTATATTCAACATTATGGAGTCATTGCTAAGTATCCAAATTAAAATGATTGGATTTGTTCTAGAAGAAAAAGAATATATAAAGCAATATGATTCTAAAGCAAAGTTCAGGTTTAAGAACGGAAAGTGATCAATGAGTAAGAGCCAGAGTGAATCAAAATGAATTGCATATTGACTACAATCAACATTATAAGTAGTGCTCTGCTGGAGCTTCGCGATGCACCATTACAGAAAATAGAATTTTCGTCAAAAGAAAATGGCTCGTTCTGGAAACGATTTCATTCCATTTAGGGGGAAAAAAAAGCTACAAGTGCATAATCCATCCTCCTGGTTCTGAGTCTGATTACTTTCCATCTTTATTTCACCGTTAGGGACCATGTGCATACTGTACTGCCACAATAATAATTGAATGTTCCTCCTGTAAGGATGCACCAATCTCATCCCCACTGATTGTCATTTACAGGCGCTCTCCTACGCTTTAGTGGTGCATATTTTCTCCAGGGATACATATTTGAATAGGTGATGCCGGCAGAGGTTTTTACAGATACAAGAACGACAAGTACTTCATCTGTAAATGGAAGAAAAACCCATTAAAACACGGCAAGCCTAATCTGGGATATATCTTAGGAGGAGTAGAAATAATATATTTTCTTTCCATACATGCAGCTGCAATTTAGTACTAGATTCCAATTATATTAAGCTGGAACACAAAACCTTTCCTTTTGGTTATAAAGGAAGACTCTGGAAGCCATAGTTTAGATTCTTGATGTAAAAAAAGATTTTTTTTCTTTATGGAACGTCAGACATTTTTCACTTAGTTAACCTTATTAACGACACAGATTTACAAAAGGAGCCGTTAGCTTTTAGGGCTTTGTTCGTGACGAGTGTTCCTAACGCTACACCAGCTTAAGCCTCAAAGGTTAAGTGTTTGAGGTCGTTTTCGTCCTTCTCCTTTAATTACAGAATTTTCTCCTGACTCCCTAAACATCTACAAGATTTTACAGACAGTTGTCTGTGATTTGGCAGAAATGTTTGTTTTGTTTTGATATTACAAAGCTGTGAGCCTTTTTATACTAAATCACATACCCTACATCTCTCACTGGTTAACCTACTGGAGGAGGACCCTTTTAGAAAGTTACTTTTAAAAAGCAAAGTCAATTTGACCTGGTCTCTGTGTTGTATTTGACTGCCCGATATTTGTGAAAGACTAGGAGTTTCCCATTTACAGACTTTCTTGCAGTGCGTCAGCATTCATTTTGTCACTCAATAATTTCACAAACTGTCACTTTGTGACCACAGTGAGACGACAGATGAATATTTACTTTAATTCTGAGACTTTTTTTAGTGGTTGGATTGGTTCAAATAGGGAAGAGTCTAAAGATTATTATCTGAAAACTTTCCAAAAGATGATTATTCTAAATATGTATTTTTTTCAATACTTTTCCCAGTGAAATTGTGATTTAAAACTGTAACTTTGCAGGTTAGCACGTTCACACACCTTTTCCAGTTCATCGCTGACCAGTCGGCCATCTTGGTTTTCATCCAGGTGTTTGAACATGGCGTCCACTCTTGCTCTCTTTTCGTCCATGTCTTTCTGCCGGTTCTCCTCTCCGGGCTTCAGCTCCTTGGGCTGCATTTCCAGCAGCATGCTCTTCAGTCGGTTGTACTCCGCCATGGTGCAGGCATTGACTGTGGCAGCAGACACAAAGGTATGAAAGATTAAAACCTCATCGACTTCAATTCACTGAATGTAATCCTTTCGACTTAAGCTGTAAATTGAATTCATCACGTTTGTGTGCTTTAAAACGGGGAGACGGCCGCTGTTGCAGGGGTAGAAAATGGATGCGTCACGGCGTACTTATTTGCATCCTTAAGTGTTTACTCATAGTTTTGTTTGCATAATGTGTCAGATGGTTATTGCTACAAGGGGGGTCCAATTAATTATGAGTAATCCTTGAAACCGCACGGAAACAAAAAGGTAAACATCTTCATTCAGACCTCTCCAAGCCTCTTTACCTCCTTTTCTGCGGGATTAGGGCTCACGACTCTAAGCAGACCAAAAGATTCTCAGTGTGTCTCGGCTTCACGAACACGCAGAGAGGAAATGAGAGATGACAAAGTAATCGCAGTCTGCAGCCTTCACTTACTCTTCACACATGAAATCAATAATTATGCCAAACAAAAATGCCTCCTGTGGCGCAGAGTGTGTTAATAAAGGAAAGGAAAAAACAGGTTTAGCTTTTCTCTGGTGTCACAGCTTTGCCTTAGTCTCTCCTGAGCTCCATGACAGCAGGAGAGATGCTGAAAAGATGGTGAGAAGGAGCGAAGAATAAGCACTGGTAGGACACATGCTGATGAGAGAACAAAGATGGAAAAGTCTCACATGAATAAATCACGAAGACACATCCATTCCCTATCACCGCTGAAGAGTTCCCTCTGAGGGAACATGGAAATAGATCTGCCTCATTCCCTAATCTCCTTCAACAGCTCGACAGCTGCCAGAACTAGCACGTGCAAAATACAGAGACCGCAAAGATAAACGACAAATATAAACATTTAGTCTCACCATTTAGTCTCACCTGGTTGTCAACCCAGGAGTGAGCAGCCGTGTTATATGCACATGTTCCTCTAATCTGTTTTATGTACATATAATATCAGTACTAGTCATTAAGCGGTTGGTGTCACAAGGACACCAGCAAAGTTGACCCCTCCTTTTTGCAGCCTCGCAAAAAAAGAGCCAGTTCCTGCTACTACTACGGATACACCTTCGGAAACCGTGGAAGAGGTGCAAAGAAATGGCCCCTCAATCATCAGCTGTGCAGTAAAAGTCATCATCACCTTACCCAAGAAATGGCCCCTCAATCATCGGCTGTGCAGTAAAAGTCTGAAAGCACTAAAAGGGTAAAACATCCAAGGGGGTGAATACAGTAAACCCTTGTTTTTCGCGGGGGTTACGTTCCAAAAAGAACCCGTGATAGGCAAAATCCGTGAAGTAGAAATCTTTATTTTTTTTACAATTAAATACTCAGAAAAAGAAGAGAAAGAACGAACAAACCATTTTACAGTCTCAACCATTTGTTTCACAAATAAAGTAAAATAAAAGTACTTTAGAAACGTTTCAACAAATAACTTCTGTAATGTACTGTCAAATAATAATTTTAATCATCAACGTGAACAGAAGGCTTCAAATTGCGGAGATTAGCACCGCCCACCGTGAACGGGAGAAAATTAAAAATGATTATGAAAAAAATACAAATTACCTGGTCTTGTTGCGGGCAGTTGCAACCCTTTTTGAATCCTTATTAAAACTTATTGCTGCTGTCTTCCTTATGTTTTTTTCTTCCTTCTTTATGGAACGAACGGAAGATTCATTAATTCCATAATGCCGACCTACAGCCGCATAGCTTTTACCTTCATTTAGCATGTCCAATAGTTTTACTTTATCACCGATAGACAGCATCTTCCGCTGCCTTTTGGTCCCTACCGCAGGTACTTTTGCCGGTCCAGAGCGTTTTGTCGACATTATGGGGTTTGATAAACTCGAAATTGCAAGAGAATTTGCACGTACGTAATGTCAATTTGGCAAGCTGTTTTACGTACGTGTACATATTAAACCGCAACGTTATTGGCGCACAGGTAGAGAAGAAGCGGAGTGACTTTTTAGCCAATCAGAATGCAGAACACAATGCACGATGCAAATCCGTGAAGTAGCGAAACCGTGAAAAGTAAACCGCGTTATAGCAAGGGATCACTGTATATTCAAATATATATAAATACATATATATATATATTTAAATATATATAAATATATAGTGAGACCTGTGTAGAGACGGTGGCGCTGTCTTACGTACAGATAGAAGGCTAAGCACTAGATGGCAGAACTGATGCTGTACTTCGGTGTGAGAGGGATGGGGAAAGTTAGGAATAAGCAGATCGAAGGGAATGTTGAGGTGTAGCCGTTAGTGGATATTCTAGACAGAGGATATTGGAGATGGAAGGCAAGAGGACAAAGAAAATGTATGGGTGTTGTGATGAAGGATGTGGGGGTGTGGTGGAGATGGAGTCAGGTGATCTGCTGTGGAGACCCCTGAAGGGAGCAGCCGACAGAAAGTCATACTAATCTATCACATCTATCAAATTATCATCATCCATACAGCATAGATTGAAGATGACATGGAAGTTCCAAACCAATGAAATTCAAATATTTATGACTTTCGTTTCAACAGAGAAGACCTTTGCTTTTATCAAAACACAAACGTGCTCCATCTACGTAAAAAAAAAAAAAAACACAGACAATGAAGGGTCCTGCGCCTCCTCGCAGTTAAGTCAAGGTCCCCGGCTAAAGCCCCTGTCAATGCTGTTCCTGTGAGGCGAATGGGGCGTGAGAAGGATCAGACATGAAGGATCATCACCCACCTGTCATCCTTGTCCCTGCTCTGGAAGGACAGAAATAAATTAACAAACCCCCAGCCTGATTTTGACTCTGCCCCCCACATGAGTCTATTCAGAGGAGGAAATATTATGACAGCTTATTTGAAAGAAAGGCCTGCTGTGATACATGCAAAGCTCGAACTAAGGTCTCACAGTGTCTGCCACTGCTTCCAGAATGCATTTCAGATCTGATGGGAGGACGAGGAAAGGAATGAATTAAAATCTATAATTAAATATCATCATATTTCAACATTTCCAACTGCTTCTCTCACATCACAAATGGAGACGCTGTCCTGCATTGTTACTGACTTGGCTCCTGGTGTGTGTTAAAATATGGCATTTATGAAAAATGATTGTGTGGGGAAAGTATAGAGGGCTGTCATGATAGGCCGTCCGGGTTTGACAGTGATCAGCTCAGCCTTGGCCAAGCCCCTCCCCCAAACGTGAGCCCAAGTCCGCTTCCTTAACCACCAAGCAACCACTGCCCAAAACCGCCCCCCCCAAAAACAACAACAACAACAACAACAAAAAACAGCAGAGTGAGCACGGAGGGAAAGGAGACAATGATTGTGGAAAACGAAAATGACGCCATGTCAAAGATGAAGAATATGACATAAAACGACATGCTTACTATGTTTCATTATATAAGCTGAAAAAGATTAAATTCAAGTTTCTATAGTATGGTTATGAACTAATAAGCCAAATATTATGTTTTTTTGATTATTATTTAAAGTTATTTTAGACTTTGATGATATCGATGCATTGGAATCTCACATTGTCCCTCATATATATATATGTGTGTGTGTGTGTGTGTATGTCGTCTTTGTCCAACATTTGGTGAGTTGGGATCTGGTCTTCCTTCCAACAATCTCTAATTGAATTGAACAAATGTCACATTTTAATTTCACTTTTAGTGTTTCCCCAAGGTCAATCTTCTATAAAAAACTATGAATATTTTATTTTGTTATATTTCACAATGAATGAAGAAAGAGGATGTGGCGAGCAGTGTAAGAGCAGGTACGTGGAGGTCTAAATGAATGAAGAAAGAGGATGTGGCACATAATACAGTGTAAGAGCAGGTACGTGGAGGTCTGTTTCTTTAGAAAAGAGCAATGTGTTATTGCTGGTTAAACTTAAAAAAGAAAACCTGAGAACACTAGGTCTTTTCTCAGGTTTTCTTTTTTAAGTTTAACATTCATACAATGCTACAAATCATCCCAGTCTGACATGAGGAGGAGAATATTCTTCTGACTCGTGGTTTGTACGGCGTTAGACATTTTTGACACCGGTTTGTTTCAATCGAGGCTCGTCAGAACAGTCTGTGCAGGTGTGTGGTGCTGAAGTTTGACACAATACAAAGGAGTCACGTATACCTGCTGCAATACCAACGTGGACTTGACGGTATTTATTGGAATAAGGGAGAAAGGAATGGGAATGAGAATGCCCGAAGCATCAATCCTTCAGATGATGAAACGTCTCTACATTATGTCCAGGACCGAAAAGTGTTCTGTGTTAAATTTATGTCTCCCTGACCTCATCGGGCTGAAATGATAGGATTATTTACCGCCGTGCTCTCGGCGTGCCACTAATATGCAACAGTGATGGACTTCCCTTCGGGATAATTATGAAAATGATGGACACTCTTTGCACCTAAGGGCAGCGAGGTCTCAGAGAGCTCAGCCAATCATGGAAGGGTGACTCGAGTGGCAGGAGAGACTCTTATTGCATAATGGCTGTTGGCAGCTGCTTAAATTGGCTTACTGTGAGTGTCAGAGTCTATCTGCTGTTTATCAACTGCTGTGGGTACAAACACCGACCATCAACCAGAAGTTAATGATAATCAATTTTATAATATCATTTAAATACAGTACGAAGGCAACAATACAGAGAATATGAGCAGAAATTCCTTCTCTTCCACTCAGCGCTCCTCTAGGATTGCACCCCTTTACAGTCGAATCACCAATGTGTGCTATTGTCATACGGCGAATTCGCTGTTGAATGTAAACAAATTCAAATTTCAACTCACCGTTTTTGATTGATGTGGGGTGATTTCATTTGTACTGCAGTTTGTAGAGAAGTGTTTCAGAATTATTCAAATTGAGAATAAAAAACGTTCGCCGTAGAACACACTTTGCTGTAGATTGAAGGAAATACGAATCGACAAACATCAGTATCAGCAAATCGCATTTGGTCAGTTGGACAGAGGACAGTCGCTAAATTATGGGAAAACCTGTACGAGGTAAGGCAATTTTCTCAGT